GGGAGGCGGCGGCTTTGTGAGGAGCGTTCCGCTGCCCGCCGGAGGAGGCCGGGAGGGGCGGCGCAGGGCCCCGCGGGTGCCCCGGAGCCGGGCGGCGCGGCGGGGCGCTCCCTGATGGAGGGGCCGGGGCCGGGCGGCCCGCCGCGTGCTTCCCTGTCGGGCTGCGGGCCGCACCTGAGGCCCGGGGGTGCCGACGGCGGGGGGGCGGGGGCGGCGGCGCCGGGCGCTGCGCGGCGGCCATCCCGTGCCCGTCTGCCTTTCCCTCCCGTGAGAACAATGCGGGCTCGCCGCGAGCTCTGCCCAAACGTGGGCTGTGTGCCGGGCTCCGGCCCTCGGCACGGGTTCGGGGGCACGCGCGGGCGGCGGGGAACCCCCTGCGGACCCGCGCTCTCCGCTCCTGCCGGTCTGAGCCCTCGCGGCGTCGCTCCTGTAGAATGCGCCGCTCGGAGCCCCCGGGAGCTTCGCTTTAATGAATCGACGCTGACGTAGCAGCTTCGTTTCTGTGCGATGGCTCGAGGTGTCTGCCCGGACGATGCCTTCGCGGTTAGGGCTTCGCTGCTGCGTTTTATTTGTCGCTGCTCATAGGCCGTGAGATCTGATGTTACGAACCTGACCTCGTTCACCTGAAATGCAGTGCGGTTTTAACGCGTGAGCGCAACAGCAGAGAAGTTTCAAACGGAGAAGTTTGCCGGCAGAGGAGGAGCGGTCGTGTTTGTTATCATGCCTCTTTAATGTTTGATTTTTTTTTTTCTCTTTTTTTCCGGTGGTCAAAAATGGTTTTAGTGCTGGTTGAGCTCCGTCTGCAAACCGCTGGAACAATGAGGTCACCGTGTGCAGCGCTGAGTACATCCCTGCTGCTGCTGCTGCTGCTGGTGTGGGCCCGCTCGTCAGTGGGCTGCAACAAGGCACTGTGCGCCAGCGATGTCAGCAAGTGCCTCATCCAGGTAGAGCTGCCTGTGCTTGTCTTTAAGTTCAGAAGCTGTCCCTTAGGGAGAGCCAGTGATACAAATTAAGGCCGTTTTATCATGGAATCACAGATGGTGTTGGTTGGAAATTAAAGCCCACCCAGTCCCACCCCGTGCCATGGGCAGGGCTGTCTCCCACCAGCTCGGCTGTCTGGGGCTCCATCCAACCTGGCCTTGAGCATCTCCTTGAATGGCACTCCTCGTGACAGAGGGTTGTAAAGCTGAAAATGGCTGAAAGCCCCCTGAGAGGACAAATGCTGGTGTAGCTCTAATGTGCCTCATAACCCTGAAGTACCTCTGGCTACTAATGGGGATGAGCAAGCTCTTAAAGTGTGTGAGTTTGCCTAAAACAGGCTCTTGAGTTGTGCTTGTGAACAGTGAATGTTCAGCTTGAGCCCAGCTGCTGCTTTTGGCTCACTGCGTGCTGTCCGTAGGGCTGAAGGAGTGGCTGAGCCCCAGCTGCTCTTCCAGCACTGGTTGGGAGCAGAGCGAGAGGTCCTTTTAGAGGAATTGTGAGCAGTTCCATTGCCTACTGATTAGTAATTGATGGGCAGTGACCTGAGCACGCTTTCTGACACCACACTGGAAGAAAGGAACCTTCCTGTGGTCAGCTCCAGCTTCCTACTGCTTCTTTGCAGGTTGGAAGTGGAAAAGCAGAGAGCACAGATGCTGGTAAATATCCTTCTGACTTCCTGCGCTGCCATTACTTTAAATGGAAAAAATAATTGAAAACAGTGCTGCTTCTCAGCCATTCTCTACAGAGTTGTTAAATGAGGGAGAGAGAGAAAGGCTTTTGACTTACCTTTTCAGTGACTGTGGCACTGGTTTTCAGTGATAATGCTGTGTTTTGCTTGGGCATTGGCATCTTCCTAGCAGCACAGCCCTAGGGATGTGCTCTCTTGCTTTGTATCAGTGATATGGGACACCCTCTTAAAGCTTTTCTCTCAAATCAGGACCGCACGTTGCTCTTTGAGACACTACCCCTTAGTGTTGGGGTCATGCGTGGTCACAGGTCAATGACTGATGGAGGCAGATGGATCAGAAGGCAGATGGGAAGGCTCCTGAAGCTATGACCAAGCTGTTGCTATCTCTCATCTTGGCTTTTTCCTTCTTTCTTCTTAAATGTTCAAGTGTTGTTGCAGCAGAAGCATTGCAGTGCTCTCTGAAGTACGTCATACTTCTTGGGTTGTGTGCAATACGGTATATCTGAGTGTTCTTGTTTCCCTCTAAACCACTCTGGAGAAATCGGAATTAAAAGTACTTTGGTAAGAGTAAGTTTTCTGGACTATCTCATCGTGCAGTTCCCTATCCTGTTTCTATAACCACTCTAGTTTGGTGTGCTTCGTGGCTTGAAGCCAAATCGGTGTGGCTCTGAGGTTACTGGGGAGCCAGCAAGACGTAGTGTTGGCCGTCTGCATCTGTGGGAGCAGTGGGGCTCTCAAAAATCATACGGTTAATACAAATATTTGTGCCAGCTTCAGTACAGTCATTACTGCCACTCCTTAGGAGCTGCTCAGCTCGAGGGTGGTCCCTACATAAATATTTATCCTGTTAAACCCAGGACAGAGTGTGAGACCAACAACTTGCACGCTTTCCTCTTAGGTCTTAATGGCTGTAGCTCTTCTGGTGCCTCTGTGTTGGGATGTTATGTTTTTTCCATAAGCAGATAGCTTGAGGAAACCTCTCCTTTTTGGCTTCACCCTTGCAGAAACTTGGTGGCTCCTGCAGTTTTGGAGGAGCTCTGGGTGAGACCCAGGAGCAGAAGCAGAGAGGGGCCATGAGCTCAACTCCCTCCCTGGCTTTGGGCACAGCTCATCCTTGAGCCCCTGCAGTGCTGTTGCCCCACTCCTTGGATAGGCCGGTGGCCTTAGTGGTGCCTGGCACCTCTTCTCCAGCATTTCTTCTGCTTTGGGGTTCCCATGCACAGAGAAGATGAGAACACTGAGTGGGGACACCATGACTTACATCATTTATGCCACCATTGGTGATGCCTGCTGAAGGTTTATCTTTCCTTCCTGTTAAACTTGGGCATGAGCTTCCAAGCTTTCAAGTGTTTACAAGACTTTTTTTGGCCAGCGATATGAAATAGCTCTCACATTTTAACTTCAAGGTTTGCGTATTCAAAAATTTCTGCTAGTGTGTGTTTTGTAGCTGTAGAATGTAATGTGGTCGGGTTAGCAAAATAATCCCGTCTGGTTTGCTTCCAGGAGATTTGCTGTTATTAAACTGTTCTAGGAAAAAAACATGAGCTATTTTCTTTCATTCCCTCCTCCAGTTTGCAGAGAGGTTGCCAATGCCTTCAGGTCCTGTTTCTCGCCACGCTGAGAAAACAGTCTCTGTCACTTCAAGAAAGCTTTGAAAAAATGGAGTTGTTAAATTCCTTGTAAAAGGCTTTATTTGCTCTCTGAAGCAGAAATACCTTTATTGTACAAACTTGTCTGCTTCCTACTTAATGCTGTATTTTTAGACGAGGGAGGCTCATTTCTTGCCTAGCAGAATACTGGTGCACCTTCAGTAGTTCAGCCTGGGCAGCTGCCAGACTCACTTATGAGTAATATTTTCTTCCACTGACGCCTTGCCACCCCCAGCTATCAACAGGGAGCATTTCTCTTTCTGCTTCACTTCACCCACGTCCCATGGAAGCATTCTTTTAAGGAGATGTATCCTGCACAAGTGTCCGGTCTGGGTGAGTCAGTAGGAACTTGAGTGTGGTTAAGGAAACAGTGGACATGCAAACGCTTGGATGGAAAAACATACGATTACTGCCCTGCAGGGACAGCCCTGGGGAGGAGGGGCTGAAGAGCTGTGCATAAGACCAGCGTGATTGCTCTTTCTTCCATCTTGTTTCTCCAAGTTAAAAAGAAAGAAAGAAAAAGAAAAAAATTTAAAATGTTCCTAAGCCTTTCGTATAAAAATAAACTTGTTAAAATACTGGTAGGTATAGTGATGAGACCCCTAGATAGTCCTCGTGCATATAGACACTAAGAATACAGACACACACTTGTTCAGAGTGCAGTGAGGTGCTAGCACAGCTGCCCATGTAAGCTGTGGTGCCCCATCCCTGGAGGTGCTCAGGGCCAGGTTGGATGGGGCCCTGAGCAGCTGAGCTGCTGGGGGGCAGCCCTGCCCACAGCACGGGATGGGACTGGATGGGCTCCCTTCCAATCAGCCATTCTGTTATATTATTTTTGTATTGCAAGTGCAAAAGTTGAGATTACTTTTAATTCTGTGAGAATACTCTTAGACTGCATAATGCAGGCTGTAAAGTTGAAATAACTCAAATTTAGTGAGTTTTCTGGCTTTGATTCATACATTGCATTTAATTTTTTATGGAGAGTAGCCTCCACCCACATACCGGCTTGTTGGTGTTGCAATGTCTTTAATAGGTGTGAAGTTGTCTGCCCAGTTTTACTGTTGAAGAGCAAACGTGTAGGATATGTTTAATGTGAATACATCCCAATAGAGCTCAGTGGCCAACGCAGCAGTGCTGTACTCTTGGTTGCTTTTAAAAATCGTTTTATTCAGGCTTTTACTCCTCAAGTCTGACACAATCTGTTTATTGAACAGAAAGATAAATATTTTAGAAATGCGTCATTCATTCACATAAGTCATCTTTCTAAGTTTGTGGTGTCTCCTCTTGTGGAAAACTTTGTATTTCTCAGTGACGGGCCTGTTTTTCATCCTTCACTTGGAAACAGCATAGTAATAGGTGACACGAGTAAACTTTGAGAGTGAAAAAGTTGAAAATCTTGGTAGGTTTCCAGTCTGTAAATAAAAATTCAAGACTTACTAAGACTGTGTATGGCAAAAATGCATGTGGAGAGGAGGAGCTGATGCTCAGCCACTCAGAAGTGCAAACAATTTACATTAAGTTATGCAGGCAATGGCAGCATCTCAGCGCTGTGCGAAACACAATAGTTTCTGGATTGTGTGGCTTTTTTTGCTGGCTTCAAGAAGGCTTTTAATTCTTAATTTGGGACAAAGCAAATGGAAGAATGATGGATTGATGAAGTGCATTAGTACAGAGGGGCCCATCTGTGGTGGATTTGGGGGTTGGTTCTGTGTCAGTCCCCTGAAAGAGGGACGCGGCTCTGGCCTCTCTCTCCCAGATGCATTGAGGACCAGGACACGAGCCACGCCTGCAGGCTGCCATCTGGGAGCTGAGGTCCTTTGGAGCTGCTCCTACGTGTCTGTGAGCTGCAGGGAGGCGGGCCACCTGGTTTTTAGATTTCCTTTGTACGTGCAGGCTGTTCCCATGCTTCAGGATCCTCAACTGTACGGCTTCAGGAGGACTGCCAAACAAACCAGAGCTTTCAGATTTAGGAAGCAGGAAGCAGAAAGGGTTATCTTTGTGCTTCCATGTCTTTTCTGGTTTTCTGTCTTAATCACAGTTAGAGAAAAGAGTGTATGTTACCATTTTACTTTCAAGAGACTACAATTGTGAAGTATCCAGGGTTTTATTCTGGGGATAGATTAAGAGCAGAAATGAATCAGCTGGACTTCAGATAAATATGTATATACCCACATACAGCTACTAATACGATAAACAGAGAGCAATGTGTAGCAAGCATTGAGGGATGTGCAAAATAAGTGTGTTCCAATGGCTAAACCAAATACATTCATTTCAAGATCCACAAATAGGTGTGATGGTAGGCACTGCACATCTTCTGAGCTTCCTTTTTTTAGCTAAATTATACCTCATCTGCACTATTTATACAAAAAGAAACGTCCTTCCTTGAATTTGGTTTTGCAGTGGGAAAAGTATTCAGGGAACGTGTAGTGAACAAAGCTTTACCATGAGTAGGACTTTTTCTCTTTTGAACACTTGTTAGCAAACTTCAGATTTGCGTTGAGAATTTCAGCCTAAAAAACAAAACAGTCTGAAAAGATCCATTTGTAAATTCAGCTTGGTTGTTTGGCTAGAACTCTTTTACTGTTTTCTCACTCGATTAGTGTAAAAAGCTGTTCTTAAAACCCTGACTTGAGTTGTGGCCAGAGGAAGAATTGCTGTGCCCTGCTGGCATTTCATGTCTGGGATTGCTGGGTGTAACACGTTCATGTTGTTTTCAGGAGCTGTGTCAGTGCCGCCCAGGGGAAGGGAACTGTTCCTGCTGCAAGGAGTGCATGCTCTGCCTTGGCACGCTTTGGGATGAGTGCTGTGACTGTGTTGGTAAGTTTGCAGTTGTTGGGGATTTCTTTTTATTTATAGAAACTTCTCCCTGCCATGTGTTCAAGTTGCAGCCCTACTGCAGAAGTTAAGCACGAGGACAAAATCTGTTCTTTCATTATCTTGCAACTTGTTCTATGGGTACTGCATGAGTTAGCATGCAGTGGAACATGCCAGTGGGGACCAACATGCCAGAAGGCCGCATCTGCTTTATGAGGTACACAGTAGCAGTCCAAATTTTGCTTGGGTGATGTCAACATCACTACATAGCAATTTTGCTATCTGTTTGTGGACTTCTTTTTCAATTGTCATCTCAATGAAACTACACAGCACCTTCATTATGGGGTTGGATGCCACATAAGGGCAATTGGAGATGTGAGTTCCCCCGTGAGTCCTTGGGACTAGTTGTAATTACGCACGGTCCATGTTTTTCATCACTCTTTTATTTGCAAAAAGATCTGTTTCAGGAGCGTGAGAAGAAGGTATACAAATTCTTTCTGTAAGATGAGATGACAGCCCTAACAAGGACAGCATTATTACCAACAGATCGTGCTCACAGTGCCAAGATTTCTGTTAGTGAATGGTGCCTCTGCAGAAGGATGGATATGTTCTTGTTCCTTCTCGTATTATAAATGTTTTGAAAGATTCATCATCCTGGGATTGCTGGGCCCTCCACTGCCATACAGATGCATCTGGTTCCCATAAATAGGAGGCATGTTGATCACTGTACCTTCTCACAGCTTCTGGCTGGTCGATTCTTCTCTGAGTTCATGAGGATGAGTGCTTCAGAGTGCTCCTTTTCGCTGCATTTCATTGCTTCTCACATTCCATCATGATGTGAATATGCTTTCTGACAACTTGCTTCTTGCTTGGTTCTCAGCAGCTTACTCTTGCTTGTCTGTCCTTCAGTAAATAAGGAGTGGAGCAGAACACTTGGGTGCACATGAGATTCTTCCCAATGGCAAAAAGGATTTTCAGGCCATCTCCCTGTGCTGGCTATTAATTTTGAAAGAGGTGTTATAGTTTAATTTTTCTATTTGAGCTGAAATACTTTAATGGACTCACTGAAGAGCGAAATAGATTTGTGTATATTTCCCCCCCGTTCCCTTTGCCCTTCCCATGTGTTCTTGCTTTTTTTAATGCAGTACTGAATTGTATTGTAGACTTACTCAGTCAAAGGGGTAGGGAAAGGAGAGCAGGCTACTTGGCTTTTTCAGAAGTGCTGTCTGGTTCAGAAAGCAGGGTTTTGTGCACAGATATTCTATAGGAAGAAGAACCTAGCTACTGTGATTATAAAGAAAAAAGTCTACATAGTTTATTTTCTAAATCTGAACATGACTCCCTGTTCTGTTGCTGCTTCCCTCAGTGCTATCCAGTAAAGCAGTTAGCAGGGTTTTAGTTTCAGTTTCCCAGTACTGGTGGTTCTGCAGGTGCCTCAGACCTTGGCTGTATGGCATCGTCCTATTCTGAAATAATTACTCATTAATGTAGATTTGGAGTGGGAGATTTCACTGTCATTCTGATAGCTGAATCTCTAATCTGATCAAATCTAACATGAAAGCAGATGGGTTGTGCTGTCCTTCAGGTCATGTCTGCTCTGAAGTCAGGAGTTACTTCTACTGTTCAGCACTTACTTTGAAGAGGTTGTGTTTTTCTATAAAGTCATAGCTAAATATGATTTCTGAAACTGGAGGCTTAATGCATCAACATGGCAGGAGATGTTTGCTGAGTGTGTAGGGCAGGTGGACTTCAAACATACGCGCTTCGTATTGCTTTGGAAGAAGAGGATTGATTTGCTTTGCAGCTGTAGCTGTCTAAAAGTATAACTGTAAAACTACCCAAAATTATATCCAGATGTGCATCAGGAAAATCAATTTCTCTGTCTCTTGCCAGGTGAATTCTGATAGCATTTTATGGCTTCTGGTTCTAAATACCTATGCATGTGTAACTTTTGCTTTCAGTCTTGGAGATTTCAATGTTTTGATTAAAAGAAGGTCATCGCAGTTAATAAATGGTTGCATTTAAATGTTTAATGAAAATCTGGCACCTGCATGGCATATTACAGAAACAAAGAGGCAAAGAGGATTACAGCAGAGGACAACAGATTTCAAAAAAGATTCCCCAGGAGATATTGAAAAAAATGTGTAAGGGGTAATGTGGAAATAAGTGTTTTGTCTGTAGTGACTCTCCAACTAAGCAGAAAATCTCGGTTCATCTCAGCCGTGTCTAAGCAGGTAAAGAGAGCAGACTCTTGCTCTCTCCTGGTGCTGATCTTTGCACCTCTGGCAGGTGCCTGGTAAGATCTTATGCACTGCTGAAGCAGATGAGATCAAATACTTGAATTGTGATCAAAAGTTTCACAAAGCTCAGGACTTGTCGAGATACTACCTTTGTTCAGTTGTAGGCTCCCATTCCGAATTCATGCCAGTGTCGGTCATGCTGCGCTTTGTCACATGTCCCAGAGGAAACAAACCTTGAGCTGAACTCTGTGTTCTGAAGTGTAATGCTATAGCATAGAAAGGGAAGTGAAAAAGAGGTTTTTCTTTTTGCTTGGAGCTCACGAGTTGCAGATGTGTTTTGTGGAATTCTGCAGATGTGAAACCTGCCGCTATTGAAAATTAGCACTGCTGGTTTTGGTGGCACTTCTGCTATTGAGTTGTAAGTTAATGAGTTAAGAGGGAATTATATCAGCAGAAGGGTTCCGTATGTATGCATATACACCCACAGATTCCAAGAAGAAAGGATTTTTGTATAACTTAGCTTCTCATTCCTTTGCAGGTATGTGCAACCCTCGCAATTACAGCGACACACCTCCAACATCCAAGAGCACTGTGGAGGAGTTGCATGAACCAATTCCTTCGCTTTTCCGAGCGCTCACAGAAGGGGATACTCAGCTGAACTGGAATATTGTTTCCTTCCCTGTTGCAGAAGAATTGTCGCATCACGAGAACTTAGTTTCCTTTTTAGAAACAGTGAACCAGCCACAGCATCAGAACGTCTCCGTTCCAAGCAACAACATCCACGCACCTTACTCTAGTGACAAAGGTAATAAATACAGTGTCTGAATTCCTCACATCTCTTCTGGTCTCTTCCAGCAGCTTTCTCAGTGCAGCTTTCTCAGTGCATCTTCTGTGCTTGTCTCTGCTACCCTCTTCTTTTTGTGTATAAAAATGGGGGAAAAGTTCAGTCTACTTCTGAGCATGACATAACAGTGTAGGAACTTACTGCCTTTATTTTATTTATGTATATATTTTTTTCCACCTTTGAGTTTAGAGTTGTGTTTTTTTGTTTTTTTGTTTTTTTGGCTGACTGGCAGGGTAAGAGATGAGAAGTTTGGTGTAGTGACAGCAGTGGGTTAAGAAACATTCTCTTTGCTTCTCAATTTCCATGCTAAACCTGAAATACTTTTCTGTGCAAATCATTTCAAAGCCTTGAAAGAATCTCATAAGTAGTTCTTAGTAAAGTAGCTGATTAAAAGGGGAAAAGAGCATCTGATTTGTTTTACTGTAGCGTGATTAATGCTTCGCTTCCTTCCCAGCGCTCACTTTAAGTATTGGTAACCACATTTGCTGTTGTTGTGATGGTTCTTTTGTCATATCAAAGCAAGATTCCCTAATTGATGGACACGCTGCTTTTCCATCTCATCTTGAACTTCTGACCTAGTATTGTTGCTGAGTAGGGCTGCTATTGATTACATGGAACTGTAATGGCAATTTTTCTGACTTCCTTTGGTTAAGGCACACTAGAAAAAAAAATTAATTCCAGAGCTGGGAAACCAGATGGGCAGAAAACATTTCATTCATATGTCTTTGACATTAATAAAACGCTTGCTTACCATCATGAGAGTGATGCAGAAAGCCATGTTAAATGGCAAGCCACAAAAAGCAATGTGTGCAAATAATACTAAAGTATTTAAAGACGTAAATTATACTTGGAAGAAAAACATATGCTTGGAACAACCTTGAATATATCCCACTGTACTTAGGCACTGCAGCCGGACTTGCTGTTCCCTGGCAGTCCTTTACTACCATGCCAACAGGATGGGCTAATGATAGCTTTGGATTAAACTTGGAATTGGAATTGCAGCTCGAGGGTGTGGAGGAGTTCTGAGTATAACAACACAAATACATAGCTACAATTTTTTCTTAGTCAAAGGTCTCCTTCGTTTCATTTGCTAAGGTCGTATTAGAGATTTAAGCTGAGAGGGCTTTCATTGGAATGATGGCATTCCAAAAATAACAGTTATGTTTGGAAATACTTACCAAATGCCACTGGATTTTGGGTTTCAGTAGATACTCAGGAGAGAAATAAATGTCAAAGCTTTTCTTGTAATCATTGGCTATTGGTCTTTTCTTGGCCACAAAGTAGATTGAGATCTGATTTTGCAGAACATCATGTTAAGATTTTCTTATAAAAACTCCAGTGAATTGATCCGTGAGAAAAATAAGTGGAAAGAAAAAACTGACCTCTGGCCTCGGTCAGTTGGTGTTGATTATGGTGAAAGTAAGGGCACGTGGGGAGCTGCAGCTCTTGTGTTGGACGTTGTGTGACCCATGCGGTAGGAATGTTTCTAAAAGGTTTTGGGTGAATTTACTGAGGAAGCAGTGACTGGAAAGTGGAGGGGTAGGGGGTGAAGAGCCAAAGAGACTAGCCAGCATGGGCACACACAGTGTGCTTCACTTCATCGTGGTGTGCAGGCAGCAGCCGTTTCTTTTGTTGCCTGGAAAGGGAGAGGGGGTAATGAGATGTAGATTTTGGTGAGGGGACAGTAGGCTGTGTACTGTGCTACAGATTACTTGCCAAAATTTGGATAGGCTCTGCTTATAAAGACCTCTTGCCACATCCTGTAACACAGTTCTGATTTTCATTTCAACGCGTGTCCATGCACAGATCAATGTGAAGCCATCTAGGGTGCCAGACTCGCTATGTACAGCCCTGGGTGGGTGCCAGGAAAAGCAGCGCTGGCCCCAGGAACCCGAGGGCCTTGTGCCTGACAGTGGGACGGAGCCAGGCCGCCAGTTAGTGTGGAAGTGGAATGCAGAGAGACATAAAACATTCCTGTCCTGCCGCTGCCTACTGCAGCCACCAGACCTTGAATTATTATTGTCTTAGTGCATGCTTTCCCTTTTCTTCTGCGAGCGGTCTTCTAACACTCTAGCGGCCAAAGCACATCGAGCTGCTGGATTGGGCTCTTTGTATCGGTGGTTTCTGGTGTTTGAGCAGCTGCTTCAAGTGACTTTTGCTACTTGCAGTGATTATTAACCTAGAGTTACATTTTGTACTTTATTCTTATTTTTTTGCTTTGTTTTTAGCTGATACCCTCAGAGCTCTGAACTGCAAGTTCAAATGTATAAATAAGCTTAAGTGCTGCAGATGATGACAGGATGTTGGCAAGAGAGACGGGGGAAGTGGATAATCTTTTGGCAGCTGATGAAACAAAATCTGTGTTGTAGCTGAGGGATTCTGACTTAAACTGCTCAGTGACACAATGGATGGTGTCAGCTCTGCGCTTACGCTTCCACTGAGTGCTGGCCAGGTAGTGAAGACCTAGCAGTCCAGTCAAGGGCACCTATTTCTGTAGGTATGCTAGGAACACATTTTTGAAAATGCCTTTTTTTTTTTTTCCCCAGTAACTTCTGGCTAACACCAAACTGGCTGCCAGGCAGACGGTTACCTCCTCTTCTACCACGAAACAGACCAGCAGGCAACTTACCTTACATAGCACCTTTAATTTTCAAGGTAGCACATGGGATTTGTAATTAACTAGGAAGGTTCCTTCATCTTCCCAATAAGCGTTTTTCCTTCACTTACAACAGAGCTGTTTTCTTTTCCTGGATTTGCCAAATTCTTCAAGTACCGATACAGATCTCACTTGAAGCACCAAGAGTATTGTTGCAAAGTCTGGCAGAAATACGAGCCTGTTTCTTCTAGTCATCTGAATTTTAATTTGATTCTACATTGTTGTTTCTCCCACACAACCTTCATGTGTTATGAATTGTGGGGAGAAGGAGAAAAATTAATGTTCTGAAAAGAGCTGTGTAGCTGTCAGTCCCCCACTGCTCTCTCTCCTTCCTACCCCATCTGTATTTGATAGTCCTTTCTGTGTGAAAACAGGCAAGACGCTAATGAAAGAGCTGTTAATGCAGCAAGTAGCATCCTTTTATCTGCACTGAGGGAGTCAGCATTGCCTGGGCAATTACATTTGTGAAACAATTTAAATACTTTCCCAGATCCCTACTGAGCCTGTAGGATGGTTTTTGGCTTTTTTTTTTCCTTTGTGACTCTTTTTGTAGCCCATAAAGAGGGATTTGGTGCTTGATGAGAGCAATTTTCCTGCTTTCCAAAATTCTTTATCTGTGTAGAAACACTGACCCTACTGAGCGAGGGACAAGGTTAGCATGTGGTGAGCAAGGTACGCAATAAAGAAAGAACCAGTTTAGCTGGCATGCCTCTGAATGAGAAAACTTCCAAATGTGTTTGGTAGCTTAGTCTCCTGCACATTACATGTGTCTTCTAGTTTCTTACAAGTGCTACTGGGAACCAGCCGATGTACCGCTAGCTCTGGCCTGGTGTGTACAAGCTGTCCTCCCCATTTTGCAGCATTTCTGGATTGGCCATCTAGGACCAAATCTTCTGGCTTCCACGTGCAAGTGAAAATAAACTTCCTTCTCTGGTCTGTCAAGATTAATGGTCCAGTCGGTTGTTGCTGCTAACTTAATATGGCTGAGATCTTGCTTCTGTCCCCACTTTAGTGCCGAGAGGTTGATTTCCTGGACCAGTATCACAAGGCCTCACTGCTCTCACCTGCTTCTACCAGGATTATGGTCTTAGGAGTGCAGATCCACTGACCTCCTTCCCACTCACAGAAGTGCTCACTTCTGTAGAAGGACATCTCAGCATCTCTGGTAGACAAAGATCCAGAAAGATTTAGGATTGGTTGTTTTGGGACAGAGGCAGTCCTGTGCTTGCAGCTGACACCTGAATGGCTACTGTGAGAAGATAGGGAGGCACAAACATGGGGCAGTCTGGGCATCCTGGGACTAGAGGGTGTGTGTATGCTCCTTTCTGGCAATCCCAGCTTTTCGTTGCTGGTGCCAAAAGGTTACCCAGTGCTTGCAAATTCTCTGAAGCAAGACAGAGTTGCTGAATACTGTGACAGAAGTGTGCCCTTGTGGCCAAGAAGGCCAGCTGGATCCTGGGTTGCATCAGAAAAGCGTGGCCAGCAGGTCAAGGGAGATGATCCTTCCCTTCTGCTTTGCCCTGGTGAGTCCACATTTAGACTACTGTGTCCAGTTCTGGTCTCCTTGGGAAAAGAAAGACAGGGAACTTCTAGAAAGAGTCTGTCAGACAAAGATGATCAATCATGCCTGGAGCATCTCCTGATGAGAAAAGGCTGAGAGACTTGGTTTGGGAAGTAGGAGACTGGGGTAGGAGGGGGGTCTGATCAGTGCTTATAAATATTTGAAGGGTGAGACTCAGTGGACAGGACCAGGCTCGTTTCAGTGGTTCCCAGCAATAGAACAAGGGGCAATGGGCACAAACTGGAATACAGGAATACAACTTCTATGTAAACATGAGGAAAAACTTCTTTACTTTGAGGATGAGAGAGCACTTCAACAAGCTGCCCAGAGAGGTTGTGGAGTCCTCTGTGCTGTCTGGACCTGATACAGAATCCACCTGGATTCTTTCCTCTGCAGCCAATTGTAGGGAACCTGCAGTAGGTTGACTTCCAGAGCTCCCTCACAACCCCCACAATTCTGTGTGGCCCCTGGGAGGATTCTTACCTGTGTGCTTTGGTGGATGCAGCAGTTGCTGCCAGTACCATCTCCCTACCACATTTTTGCTTTAACTGAGCCCTTTAGGTGCATATTAGGGAGGTCACTCCTTCTGTGTGCTTCCATGGAATGTGTGTTCTTGTTTTGCTTTTTTCCCCTCCCACCTGTAAAGAAAGCATTCTTAGCAAAGCTGTGGATATTTGGTAGATTTCAGGTGGTTTTGTTCTGTGAGAACTTTCTATGCTTACTGGGCCTTAGGCTTTATTTTGAAGTGTTAGAGAAACAGAAGTGCCAAGAGTGGGAAAGGACTTGCACAACCACTGCATGTGTTGTTGACATTCTCAGCAGTACTTCAGGTACTCCAAGATTTCTTAGATGACTGCGGCGTTACTCACAGCACGGCTTTCCTGGAAGCAGAAAAATGCCTTGGTGTTGGATCTGCACTTCCTCCTCGAGATCCTTAACGCCTTTTGCATTGTATGTGGTGTCTACAAGAAGTGTATGTCAGCCCAGAGCCTGAACAAAGAATACTGCCTTGTGTTCAGTGAGCTGGCAGCATGTCCTGTGACTATCTTGCAATTGTTCAGGCAGCAGTAAAATAATTTGGCAGTTATCAGGTTTCCTTCATCAGCGTTTTGACAGATTTTAATTCTTACACAGGATAGGCAGAGTTTCCAGCTGTCAAGAAGAAGGAAGCATCTATGGAAAAGCTAGCAGCTGCATTGTGCTTTCTCATACATTGTGCTATCCCTTGCCATGTGTCCTGCAGCTTGGACAGCACAAAGATCATCTACTGTTGGTACTGGGGAAACTGAACGCGTAGATCTGATGTCCTGTAGTGTGATGGAGCCCTTTGCTGGCCTCAGCTCATCTCTGGCCTTCACCTTAAGAACTTGCCAGGAGAACTGTGTGCTGCTGAGGTTGCTAATCTATGAGGTACCCGTATTTTGAAGAGAGGGGTTGCACTGACTTTAGCACAAGGCTTACATACAAGAGACTGAATAAATGTAGTGGCTAACAATTGCACTGCTCCAAGTCCTTTGGTTACTCATCCTTCTCCATATCTCCATAATCATTTAAAAAATGAAAAATAAACTGACTTACCATCTATGTTTGGATTACATTTTTCTAATCCTCCTTAGAATGTAGGTCAGTACGTTTCTTCTGGATCCGTGCAATTTGAGCAGGAATAGGCTAGAAAGCCTCTTGACATTTGCAGCTCACAAATCTGTCTGATGTGTGTTAGTGAGGTGTTCATGTTTGTAGGCAGCTTTCAGTTGTGCTTTCACCCACAGCGTGCCAAGTTACGCTGGGGGCAGATGTGGTGCAGAGATCCTGTAGAGGACAAACCACAGTGTAATCACTCAGTTGGCAGAGAAAAAAGATGGTGGGATCTATCAGCTTGGGGAATTAGAAGTAGGCAGGGGAGGGATGTTTTAATTTTATAGATATGGTGAATGCCTCAACTCCAGTTTGGGGTTATAGTGCCAAACTTCATGGCGTTTCAAGTAATTGTGTGGTGGTTAGAACAGCAAAGATGATGCTTAGGCAAAAGGCAGAAAGGATTTCTTAATCTTAGTAGTAAAACTGGTGTTGCTTAAAATAATGACTAAAAGCGTACTGTGCTGCTCTCATCTTGAGGAAAATGGGATCCTCTAGCTCTAGCAACATGTGGTTTTAATGTGGTCGAAGAATACTGTTGGGGATGAGAAGAAAATGTTTATGCTTAAATAAGTTTTTAAAATAACTGATCTAAAAGTGTTGTTTTTCTTGATCGCATGTAATAACTGCTAGCATCTGCAGTAGTGGTATCTTAATGCTAAGGCTGTGTACCTTCAGAGGACGCCTGCTTGTTATTTTGGCGTAGCCCATCGTTACACTTCATAAAGAATCCCTCATGACTTTGCGGAGGATAAAGAAAAAAGACACAATTTAATTTAAAAAAAAAAACAAATCATCCAGAGGGAGAGCAGAGAGTAAAAACTGAAAGTTGATAGGTCTCACCTCGGGTCTCTGTCTCTTTTCTGCTTCTCTATCGCTTTTTTTCCTTATGCCTCATGGTCTTAATGATTTGAACTCCCATTTCAATAGCTGCATGTGTAATTAATTTTCAAGTAACCTTTTAGATACTTTAAGACCTTTTAAACCGTTTTCCCCCTCTTGGTTTAGAACACATGTGTACTGTGGTGTATTTTGATGACTGCATGTCAATACATCAGTGCAAGATCTCTTGCGAGTCCATGGGAGCATCCAAATACCGATGGTTTCACAACGCCTGCTGTGAGTGTATCGGGCCAGAGTGCATCGACTATGGCAGTAAAACTGTAAAATGTATGAACTGTATGTTTTGAAGCAGAAGAATTGTAATACGCTAACATGGAGGCCAAAGTAATCCCTCTCAGTTAGAGAGAAGCGGATTGGAAATCCTGCATTTTGGTGGAGTACCTAATGGTTGCAATTAAATGGAGCTGGTTGAAAAAAGATGTATAAAATTTGAACCTTGTTTTTTTAAATCCGTGCAAGCAAGGCTAGCTTGTAGAATTTTCAACATTCAGTTTTCTTTTTCTTCTGCTCAAATGGTACAGCCGTGCTCATCCTTGCTGTTCTGGTTGTTTTCTTTTGATTTGATACTATTGACTATATTGGTTTTCAGAATATAATGCAATATCCTGTATTTAGATTAGGGAAAACTTAAGAATACGGTAATGAGTTTCTCACCATCCAAGTTCAACAAATAAATAAATGGATACTGAGTTGCAGGGAGAGAGTTCTTGAGGTGCCTGGTCTTTGTGGTTGGTTTGTTTGTTTGTTTTTTAACTTTATTGCCCTCTAGTTTCCGAGCTTAGCCTTCTATTGTGAAAATGTTATTTGGGGAGAAAGAATAATTAATGCTTCAAGTCTAAATCGTGGGCCGTCATGGATAAAATCCTGACTTCTTAGAAGGGCTGCCCTACAAAATGCTGAGTGGGACGCTTCCCTTACCAGTTTTATTTGCCATGTTCTCTTACATACATTAGCAACTGAAAAAATCTTTTCAGTCTTCTCTGAGAGACCAAAGCAAGGCTGTTAGGTGCAGTTGCATCTCCTCCCTTTTGCACTGTTCTCTTAGGGTCACTTAATCTTTGAACATTCAGTGCAGTAAAGGGAAGGTGACATTTTATTTTGAATATAACGAATAAATGAGAAAACAAAACAGCATGCACTAGCAAGTGCTACAGGGTTATCAGCTGAACAGTTGGCCGCAGATGCGTTCACATTTAGTAGGTTGCTATGAATATTTATTCCAAACCATAAGTCTTACTTTTGTTTTCCCATGAGATGTCATCGCCAAAGAAGGGAAGATGTGCTCCCAGAGGCAAAAATCAGATGTTCTGAGCATAGGACACTGTCCATTTTTCTAAGAAAGAATTTGAGTATGCTGACGGTTGCGTGGCAATTTTATGCCCCAACTAAGACTCCATTGATAATGGTACTAAGTGCAAAAATGAAGTGTATGAGTAGTTAATGATCAGCTTTTGGTATTTATAATGATGTGTTTTTTAGTGCCTTGACTTTTTTATGCATATATGCATATATCTGTATGCACACACACACAAAAGAATTTGCCTATTCATGTTTCTCTCACTGCCCTCTGTCTAGAGGGATTAAACTGTTTTCTAGTCACACCTGAATATCTGTACCATGTACAAATGAAAGCAGTCATTTTAAATATATTTTCTTGAAAAGGTTGCCTGAATGCTTTTTTATTTTCTCTCATTATACAGCTCTTTCAACAAGACAAAATAAACATATATATTAAATATACTGTCGTGAAATAATGTTACTTTCTTCAATCTCTTTTCTCAGCTGTAAAGAAGTACTTGAAAGGTGTTTATTGTTTTGAGCTAGTAGATAATGAAGTACCTGCATACTTTAAACTTGCAGTTAAGTGATAAATCATGGATTTGAACAGAAAACCTTCGCTTTCAATGAAGGAGCTGATCTTTGAATATTTGATGATTCATATTATCTTTTTCTTGGCTTTCTTAAAATGAGTGGAGGGGGAGAGTTTGTTAAAAGTAGCCGCGACTGCTTCTGGTTGGAGGATGATGCATTGTTCTTCACCAAGATAGGAAGTGGGCAGTAAGCATTCCTACAGCTCACTAGCACAGTTAACATCTTGCAGTGTTAAATGATTTGAAGCACTGAATCTTTCGAGAGTGGAAGATGGGCCTGATGTTTCTGGTTAGGTGCCTGCTGTTCTCCATCTGTGACAACATTGACGTCACTAGAATTTCAATGGGAGGTCAAGTCAGAGGAGCAGCACGGGTGGAGAGGACTCGCCTGAAACAAGCCTGGGGAACAGCATAAAAATGTAAATACACTTGTCTGTGTAATGGCCTGAGAGTAGGTAGCAAGGATGCACGCTTTCTGGGGCTTGCCTTAACTTTGTAATTCTTGATGCTGTCTAGAGTTTGCTGTAAGCGTTGCCTGTATGCCAATGTCATACAGTAACAGCAAATGTATTTTATTATGATGAGTGTTTTGAGAGGTATTTTAATAAAAAGACATTACTGTTTCATGTGTTTTTTGTTCTCATGATTTTCTCAGGGCAAATGTTACCAGGAAACACAGTTATAAAAGTTACTAATTTAAACAGCTGGAATAATACAGAGAATTAACTCTTCAACACTGTTCTTCCAAAACTAAAACTGTAGTTTCCTTTTAAGCTTTTTCTTTGTATAAATTAATAAAATAGAATCTTCTCAATAGCCAAGATGTACTTTCTGACAGAAAACTAATTGTTTTGGATGGTTGTGTACTTTGTCCTATTCTGTTTTGCAAAAAAAAAATACTGCGAATTTATTTTTGGGCTTTCCTTTAACTCTAAAGCTAAAGCATCAGAAAAGCATCAGCTACGTATGTTTAGGAATATTTCAGAACGTGTTTCAAGTCTTTTCTGTGTTAACTTTGATCTTGCCTTTTCTCTGCCTTTGGTCCTTCTACAAACCCCATAGTAGGTCTTCTGTGATCTCAAAATGCATTTCCTGTACATTCCATAAGGAGTCTTGAACCCCTACAGGCATCCAACCACAGGCTCAGTTTGGTATCAGGCAGCTCTTTTGGTTGTCTTTTCTATTGCTGCAGGGTACTTGTGATGTATAAGTGATACTTTTTTTTTTCTGAAGACATTAGCTAAAATATTTCTTCTAGGTGTTCTGTTGTATTCTGGAACAGTACATCCCATGTAGACACCCCTCCCTTCAAGGGTTTTGAGTGAGCATTTTTCGCTTTGAACAGAATGCCCTTCTTTCAAGTTCTGCCACAGCTTTTCTTCACCTTTAAAGGAACAGGTGTTTCATTGCAATATTTCACGTTCAGCTTTCAGTTCAAGTATGTGGTTAGTCAAGTAAGATTGATGGTTTCTGTGCTAACATGAGTGTACTTGCTTTGGCCTTTGGTGATGTAAAGGAACTGATTGCTGGAAGATGCTTCTGGTTTCCACTGTATGCACAGCTCTTTTAACTGTATAAGCAAAAAGGACTTCACAGTGCTTCACTGCCATGGAGTCCATCATGGAACCAGCAGATCCGATCACACAGACCAAATGCCAGTGAGATACTGAACTTGCTCTGCCTATTAATCTGCTAATATTTGGCATTTTTAATTGTTCAAAGGAGCAATTTTTTCTAACAATGGACAAACTTAGAACCCGAGATACTAAAATGGCTTCTGAGGCACTATTTTTTAGACAGCCAGCCATAAAATGTGTCATTATCTTTAATAAAAAGACAAACTCAGCATCTCCTGAGAAAATGGCAGGGAATTACTAATTTACACAGCTGTTTTTTCCCACCTATTTTCTAACAAAAAGGCTTCCCAAAATTCTAGTATTCTCCTTAGCACATTTAGGAGAGTCACTGCAGAGAGCTTGCCGCTTTGCTTGCCATCTTTTCTCGACTTTGCCCTTAAAACAGTAAGAATTAAATAAACATAGGGTGTGTAGGGTAAGAACGTTCCCTCAAGTAAGCTTCAGACCACAGTGAGTTTTGTGAAGTCAGAAGTCATCCAAATGTGTTTAACACGGCAGTAAACTGTTATACTAAGCTCTGCACACAATCACTCATTTGTCTTTATCCAAAAATGGGAGAAGATTCGTTCTGTGCTCGTTAGCTGATGAGCCCATTGTGTGTGAACTTGTGTTGGCAGCAGCCTTGATAATGCTCATTCTCCAGAGCTGAGAGCCTCTGGCGACCTCACTTCAAGTGGAGATCCTTACAGGCAGTCATCTCAAATTACTACAGATGTTTCTGAAGTAACCTTCCTCTCTTCTTTTGCCAGAAGTAATACAGCCTTTGTGCAGCGAAAAACCCCAAGACATTAGCTGTGATGTTAAGTTAAATACACCAGCAAGTACTTGCTGTTAAACTGTTTCTTCTGGAAGGGAGGAGGTAAGTTGGAAGTCGCATGGTTATGTAATACGCTGTGGAGACAATATCTCTGTGCTCCAACAATATCTCTGTGCTCCAACACTAATCGGAGTGTTTACAACCCTCCCCTTTGTATTTCCTACTGAATAGCACAAATTCCTGTGGGGGACCTCTTACATTACCACAGAAGGTTGCACAAAGAGCCCATTTGACAGGGACTAAGAAGCATTGAATCTCAAGTGAATAAATGAAGCAGGTGGCACGCTGCCACTGTATTAATGTGTCCAAAAGCTCAGGGATTATGTCCGAGGCTGTGGGAATGAATCGGGCTGTTTCTGACTGAAACAAATTCCCCTGTTGGTTAGGAATCCTGAAAAGGATTCAAGATACGCAGGTGCTTCACGTAACAGAAAAGACGAGGGATACAAAATTCTTTTGAATATCTCTGTAAACAGGATGCATGTGGAGATGGAGATGTGTTTCTTGGCACAGGTCTCCTCATGCCGCATCCAGCGTTTCTCCATTTTCTCACCCTCCACAGAGCAGCAAAGAGGAGCCGCAGACAATTCAAGTTCAAAGCGGTTACACGAGGATGATGGCTGCTCGCTTCCGGGCTATCAGCGTAAAACTCAGCAGCAAGGCTATCGAGGCGGGCTGGGTGTAAACATCCATGGAGCTGTGCCAGCTGCTGTATTCACATGCCATGTATCTCGCCAGTTGTGTCACAAATTCTAAGGACTGTGGCTTACTGAGGCTTCAGTAAGACATCGCTAATGCTTACGTTTCCTTGTAAACCTGCTCAAATGGGGTTCTCTGCCCCGAGGGTTTCTGTGAACTTGACCCAGCTTTGTTAATTTATCTCGGCCAGGAGGCCGCTGGAACTGGAATAGCAAGGGCACGCTGCTTCTCACAGTATCAGCTGCCGCCCCCAGCACGGCCGTTGTGGGGCGTTAGAAACGAGACGAGGCGAGCGGACTAAAGCGCCACGGCTCCACCCAGCGCCGCCGCCTGCTGCACTGTCGCTCTTCTCTCCCCTCTTCCCGTCGCCGGGAGTTGTAGTCCGGCTGGCGGGAAGCTGCCCCACTCCGCTTTCATTAGGCATCCCGGAGAGAACTACAATGCCCACAGTGCTCTGCGCGCGGGAGTCTCCTTCCACTTTCCGCTTCTCTCTCGCGTCACCGCGCGCGCGCAGAGCGCCTCCCTCCCTCACCCCGCCTCTCGCCCCCGGGTGCCCTGCGCATGCGCGGCGGCAGGAGCCGCTGCCCCGAGCGGCGGTGCGAGCGAGGGCGGCGGCGCCTGCGTGGTGTGGAGTTCGCGCCTCTCCTCAGCCGTCCTTGCGGGCCGGGCGGCGGAGGCGGCGGGATGGAGCGCGAGGCGGAGCCGCGTGCGTGAGGCCGAGGCGGAGCCGCTGCGGCAGCGAGCGGGACCCCGACGGTTAGTGCGGACGCCTCCTGTCTCGGACCCTTCGCCTCTCTGTGAAGGGCGAGGGAGCCGCTTCCGGGGCTGGCACAGGGGAGGGGGGCAGGGATAAGGGGCGGGGGAGGGGCTGACCCGGGGCCTAACCCCTCACTCAGCCCGGCGGCCGGCTGCCCGCCTCAGGCCCCTCCCGCTCACCTGGCCCGTTGGCTGCCGCCGGGCAGAGGACGGCGTGTGGGGGCTGGGGACAGCCGTCCGCCCGTTCGCCTTCACCTGGAGGTCCCGTCCGAGCAGCCCTTACCGCTATCGGCGTTTTTCCGCGTGTTGGGCAAGTTGTCTGCGTTGAGTTTGTTGTGCGTTTGTCGAGTGCTCTGCACGCTGTCGGCTACTTCGTGGTGTTATTTTGAAAACGTGTCTCGGCAGGCGGAGAATATCAGCGTGAGGTGCGTGAGTAATAGAGCAGATCTGACTGCGTGTGTTAGGGCACGAGCACACCGATCAAATGAAAGCATCCCTTCAGGAGAACGCCGTGCTCATCCCCCACCCTCAGTTCATGCAGTATCTTGGCCATCCTTAATGAGAAGATAATAAAAAATAGAGAGGTAGGACCATTTTGTTGGCTGCTTAAAGCAGATTTGTGTAAATGTTTTGGCTAGTGCTTCAAGACAGCAGCAATTGAATTCTTATTCCCACTTCTCATCTGGAAGGCAGGGTTGAAATTGCATAAGCATTAAGGACCCATTTAGACCCAAACTGCTCTGTGATGATGTGAGCTGTGAACCTCAGCTATAATGCACCCATCTGAGCATAACAGTGAGGCTCTGTTGGATATGACCCAGGATTGTAATGGATGTGAGTTTATTAGCAAGCTTGAACAACAACAACAAAAATACGAAGGAGTCCCGTTTATTTTGTTTTTGATGCCATTTGAAATGTCATGGACAGGTTCTTATGAAGCATGGTGTGCTGTTTCTTCAGTTCATAGTCCTGTACAGTCAGTGTGACGCGTGCTCTGTAGGGGCTTTTTTCTACAGAGAAGGAAAATAAGAAAGAATAGGCTCCTTATAAAGGATAAGAAGGGAACTTTGGGTTATCTGTTCTAGGGCTCTTATTTCTAACTTTGAGAAAATCAGTTGTTTTTTACTCTTCTCATGCATGTAATAAATGGTAGAAAGAGCTGCCTCTAAGTTAGAATGCACTGCAATTCTGGCATTGTTCTCTCTTAGCAAAGGTACAACTGGGGGAGTGGAGGTGTTGTTATCTTCCTTGGAAAGTAATGATTCCATTGTAGAGCTCCATGTATTACTGTAGCTATACAGGTACTTCTTCTGTATGGTGGCTTGTTTCCATTTTTTCTGTGTCTGTATTGTGATGTGTTGCATTGGTATTGCAGTGGCTGCTTTCTTGCTTCCAAGCTGTAGGTGTAGTTGAAACTGATGTGCATATGTACTCTTTAGAGTTCTGATCTCACTTGTACCTTTTAGACACTTCCCTAATATGTTCCGGCTGTGTTTTCTAACAGCAAGGTTTTGAATGCTTGTGGAGCACATGCTGCTATTTCTGATGAAACTATGTCAGAGTTATATGAAGAAATGCTGTTGTTTAGTAATAAATACCCACAAATGCAAATGTTGTTTCCTTCTACAAAGCTTGGTGTCAGGTGGCTGGCCTCAAAATGTCAAAATAAAGTATAGTATGACACTTATCTTCGTTAATTGTATGCCTGGTGTAA